ATATATATATATATATAAATACATGTATATTTTGTGTATATACATACATATATATATATCGATATATATATATATATGTATGTATATACACAAAATATACATGTATTTATATATATATATATATATTTCAATTAAAATCCTAATTTCTAACCGTTATCCGTTGGAATTCCGTTAGAATTTTTTTTTTAAAATTTCCAAAAAAATTTCCAACCGACATCCGTTGGAATTCCGTTGGAATTTTTTTTTAAAATTTTCAAAAAAAATTCCAACGGATATCCGTTGGAAATACCGTTGGAAAATTTCAACCCTAATTTTTTCAATTGAATACGTTGAAAATTCCGTTAAAAATTTCCAACGGGCGATTCCAACGGATATCCGTTGGAAATTTTCAACGGATTTTTAACGGAAATCACCGTTGAAATGCCGTTGAAAACCGTTGAAAATCCGTTGAAAAATTTCCAACGGATAAATCCGTTGGAAAATTCGTTGGAATTTGCTGATTTTTTTGTAGTGTTAGTTCTAACTATATCATATTCGACTAATCAACGAATTCAAAAATGTTTTACTGTTCTTTGCGTGAAATGCATTAATATATTAAGGGAATTATCCGCAATTTGTATTTATAAAATACTAACATATATAAAACATGCATGCATGTGTCATACGTGTGGACAGTGCTTGTGATGTAGGGACAGGCCAATCAAATTTCTCGATTAGATCTCTACTGTGATAGAAAAAGAGGAAAACTAATAATACATACATATATATATATATATTCTATGAGAGTGTATAAGCTGGTAACATTTAGTCCCAATTTTCATCAAGAGAAATAAAAGCTCTGCAAACGCACATGCCAGTGATGCCACCACAATACACAAGAACAAATGCAGAGCTCAGTCCATATTAATGATCATATATATATATATATATATGTATATGTGTGTGTATATATATATAGAGAGTGAAGGCATGCGATTGGTACAATTTCTTAACCGAACCCAAATAATTGAATCGTCAAATCGGTCGTGTTATGGAGTTGTCAAACATGAACATGTAACACGTGTATGGCTGTGAACATTTTTCCTATATGACGGATTGCCTACTGCCACTATGATTTCGATTAAATTAAATTAATATCAATATACATATAATGGTGTACGTATACGACACACACACACACACATATATATATATATTGTAGACCTTGTAAACGATAAAATTATCATTAATTTCAAGCAATTAAAACTAACGCGAAGATTGATTTGGACTTGGTGCGAGCCATCCAAAGTTTATGTTTTGTCGCAGTGCATGCGAATTATACAAGGTTATAATGATCTATAGAGACATGTTATATTATGTACGTCTCTCGGTGGATATTACTCGAAACTGTATGCATAAGTGTGCGGCTCGCTCCAAAACGTTTGCTTGTGTGACTTGGTTTTCCGTACAAGTTTGTTTCTTCATTGCCAACACAATAATAGGCACTGTAAATAGAATACTTGACAGTTCAAAAAATAGAAATTGTCAAGAATGGGATTCGAACCCATGCCCTTTCGGACCAGTACCTGAAACTGGCGCCTTAGACCAACTCGGCCATCTTGACATTTACGTCTAATGCGAACAGTGACAAAATCATTGAACATTGATACAAAACCAACAAGCAGACCAAAGATCGTATATCTTATGATGAGATTATATTTGTACTTCAAACTCGGACACAAATTTTATTGTTGTTGTTGTTATTATTATTATTATTATTTATAAAGAGTTCTAAAATTAATATGCTGTCATTTCGTAGCCATGCATAAATAAGACAAGTTGGTAGAAACAATTACATTTGCTTAAGCTTGGTATACATACATATTTTACAAAATGAGAAATATATATTCATTTATAAAATGCCCAGTCTTGTTGTAGAGGCCCAAAATGATATTGGGTCTCTAAGTGGAAAGTGGAAACTAAGGCCGACGAGGGTTCTTTGGTGATTTGACTACTTGAGTGGGGGTAGTTTCGGTATTTAGTATTGCTCCGACATTGAAATGAAACTGCGCTCCTCCTGCCACTGCAATAAATATGGCAATTGAGATAAACCCATTTTCCGCCGTATCATATGATTGATTGGTCAAATTTTTTCAGGGATTCAAAAACAACTTAACCATTTAGTTTTCGTCGAGAATCATTCAAACAAAGATAACGTTACGGAGAGATGCAAGTGCTGGCATCGTGCTCGGTGAACCCCAATGGGATCAGTTTACGGAAGAAGGGCTTACTGGGTCGAAGACAGCTTCTGTCGTCTGTCTGTTGCAGAATTCCCCAGAACGACACCGTTTCAGGCCGACCCATTTCTCCTGTAAGGTTAGGAAAAGCTCCTGACTTTGCCGCTCTGTCCAAGTTCGCGTCTTTTTGTTGTTTGTGGAATCGGTAGTTTTGATTTGGGGATTTAAAGTTGGTGACTTCCATGTTTTTTAGTTTGTACTTTTGTCTGGTACAAAGAATGGTACGGAACTGTATATGCCGTTTACTTGATGAGCTGCAAAAGATAGGGTAGGGAGCAGAAAAAAGATTGGGTGTTGGAACAAACATTCTCAAATTTGTTGTTTTTTCTTCCTAATTTCGTTTTCCGAGTCTTGATGTTACTGTAGTTTCATTTGTTTGTTTGCTTGTTATAAGAATTGTTGGAGATTGGAGATTGGACTTGGGAGAGTTGGTGATGAAAACTGTCCCTTTGGCGACTAGGCGAATGTTGTTGACGAGTGTTATCATGCATCTGTGTTATAATCCTTCAAGGTACTCATCAGGTCCGCTTCCTGTTTCAGCTTTTTCAGTTCCCTTTCCGAAAAATTCGATGGGATTTCGAAAAAATTTATCGTGTGATGAGCTCAAAGGCTTGAAATCTGTGTTAGTCACTGATGGTCTTGACTAGGAGTGGTAAGTAATGAGCTCAAAGGCTTGAACACTTCAAATGTAATGGTTTTTGTTTAAGGAATTGTGTTTTCCGATTGTCCTGGCACTGTATTTAGCAGTGTGGGTGTTATGGCTTTGATGGAGATCATCCATCATGATATGATGAGGTCTATAAGTATTTGTTTCTTCTTTCCGAAAGCTTGATTCTTTTATTTATCCTTACTGATGTAATTATCATCACCGAGTGAGCTTTTTTGATGAACTACAGCCCAAGCTCTTGGTGATCCATCGGTGACAGTTGAAGATGTAAGCCCGCCCGTTTTTCCTTCCGGGCCACTTTTCCCTACCGAGGTTAGGTTATCGACCATTTTGATTTTGACTGGTTTATTCATGCTCCAGTCTTTCTTGGTTAATAACATATATTCCCCCCCCCCTTGCAGGAGAGAATTGTCCAGCTTTTTGAGAAAAATACTTACTCAGTTGTCAATATCTTTGATGTGACTTTAAGGCCTCAGCTCAAGATGACGGGCGTGGTTGAGGTAATGTTTCTCAATGCAAATAAAGGTTATTTTTCTGTTTATGGTGTTGATTCGGTACCGAGTTAATGGTGTACTGTTGTCGACGATGTAAATCAATGACAGATACCCGAAGGAAATGGTTCAGGAGTAGTCTGGGATGGTCGGGGTCACATAGTGACCAATTATCATGGTGAGAGCCGATTTCAACAATCAAAAGGGTCATGAAATGATCTGAATATAGGATATAAATGCCTCATACCGGGTTAAATTTTTAATGCTGCATAGTTATTGGCAATGCCCTATCAAGAAATCCAAAGCCCGGTGAAGTGGTTGCTCGCGTTAATATTTTGGCATCTGATGGGTAAGTTTTGTTACGCTTGCACATTGAAGTCTTTCAGCGAATGTACTCTTTCGTATGGTAAATCGGTAAACAAATAAGTGTCTTGACGTGCATGCATAAATCTTGAAGGGTGCAGAAGAATTTTGTAGGAAAACTGGTTGGTGCTGATCGTGCTAAGGACCTTGCTGTCTTGAAGGTACGTATATTTACGACCTTTCGACGGGGTTGAAAAGAAATATCTTTTGACATAATGTTCTGAAACGCCAGGTAGAAGCCCCCGAAGATATTCTGAAACCGATCAAAGTAGGGAAGTCAAATGCTCTAAAAGTCGGGCAGGAGTGTTTAGCCATCGGGAACCCATTTGGATTTGATCACACACTTACAGTTGGTGTAATCAGTGGCCTTAACCGGGATATATTCAGTCAAGCCGGAGTTACAATCGGTGGCGGGATTCAAACCGATGCCGCCATCAACCCGGGAAATAGGCAAGTCTAGGCATTCATAATAAAGGGTTAATCTTTTCTTGTATCGTTGTATACACGTTCTACTAAATCTTTCACGTACGCTTCAGCGGAGGTCCTCTACTGGATTCGAAAGGAAACTTAATCGGAATCAACACTGCTATATTCACGCAGACCGGTAAGTTTCAGCGAATAAGAACAAAAAAGAATAGAAAGAAAGATCCGTCGGTATAAATATCTGTCCCATTTTACCGTTGGTTCTGCAGGCACATCTGCGGGTGTAGGATTTGCCATCCCGTCGTCGACAGTTCTCAATATTGTCCCTCAACTGATACAATTCAGCAAAGTCAGTCCAGATTTCATTCCTTTTTTCCGTTTTCTTCTGTTTTCTCCGCGCTTTTTTGTTTTCCTAGTCTTATTACTTATCTAAACTAGGTTCGTCGAGCTGGTATTAACGTGGAAATAGCACCAGATCTAGTTGCTAACCAGCTCAATGTTCGAAACGGGGCTCTAGTCCTTCAGGTATGAATCTTTCAAACTCTTAAATCCTCAAAACTGGGTCTTCTTGGCAACAACAGTGATCAAACCGTTTTTTCTGTTTTCCGTTTTCTTTTTCTGGCTGTGTGATATACGATCTAGGTTCTGGGAAATAGTTTGGCCGCCAAAGCGGGGATACTTGCCACATCTCGGGGGTTTGCGGGTAATATAGTTCTCGGAGATATCATCGTTGCCATCGACAACAAACCCGTAAGCTCTTTTAAGCTTCTTTATCCCGTTACCCTTTCACCGGAAACGCGGGATAGAACAAAAGACTTCAACTTTCCCCCGAATGCACGAAACCCTTTATCTTAAATTTCGGGGTTTTTGAAAAAGAATTCAGAAAGAGGCTGGGGTTTTCATTCACTTTGACTCTGGTGGATCAGGTGAAGAACAAAGCAGAGATGACGAGGATATTGGATGAATACAATGTGGGTGACAGAGTGGAACTGAAGATTCAGAGAGGGTCTGAAGATTTGGAGCTGCAGATTGAGTTGGAAGAGAAGAGTTCATAAACAATTTGTGTCATCTTTGGATTATAAAAAAAAAAAGGATATTATCAATCCGTACATTCAATCGATTGTCTTCAATGATATTACATGATTAATATCATTGTACTCACTCGAGCATGAGATTCTTAAAAATATTAAAGCCCCAAAAAAAATACATAAATATTGTTACAACTCCAACGTAAATGATAAACATATATAAAAAAAAAAACTTTCACAATCTCATCTGAGGAGGAAAAAAGGATCAAAACCATCCCAAACCTCTCCATCATCGTCATCATCAACGCTCATACCGAGCGACTTCTCGTGTAATCTGATAACGACTCTGAAAATGTTCGACACCAAAGGGTTCCTCAGGAACGGTTTCATGGCCGTACCGAGTTCCTCCATATCAGAAAGAAGAGGTTTTCTGTCATAATTTTCGGCCACCGACCCGAAAACGCAGAAGGAGAGGGAGTAGAAGCCGAGGAGATTACCGTAGAGCGGGAGAAACGAGTCCTTGTGGTTCCCGATTCCGCCTAACCAACCGCCTTTTTGTTCCCCGACGTGGTCGTTGGCGAAGAAAAGCAACTGGTTTCGGAATTTCGCCCTCCATTCGAGCAGATGGGTAAGGGGAAGTTCTCTGTTTGATGATCCTGCAAGATTCTGGAGATGGTGACAACACAATTGAGAGATTAGAAGCTTCTCTTCATGGTGGTTGTCGATCTCTTTGTCGAAAACCTGTCTCACGAGATCTCCTCCCTTTGCCGAAGAGGCTGTGTAGGTTGCGGCATTGAAGACCCATCCCGCGAGGTAATGGAAATACTCGTTCCAATGGCCGAAAACAGAAGATAGATGGCCGAAGCTAAGTTCAATGACTTTCTCAACTTGGGTGGGGACTTCTTCCCAAGCCGCGGAGGAGGAGAAGCACTTCTGGACATCGGAGGCAAGTTCTTGTCTGATCACGTCATCTTCGTCTTCCAACAGTTTGATGCAAGTGAACCACATCTCGAGAACTTGAAAGGCGTACCTGTTACAAGGCTCTTGTACATCGGTGGCCTTAGTTTCAGTGGGGATTTGATCGTTCGAAACATGAGAGCCGATGAGCTCGGCTTGTTCCAGTAGACCAGATGCTATCATAGCCTCTGCAGATGCCTTACGGATATTCACTTGCTCGGATGATGAGCTTTGCTGTTTGACCAAGTTAACAAAGTAGGAGAGACAATCAAATACGTGAGCCAATCTAGGTTCCTCTGGTTTCTCGGATTCACACTTGTCTGGAACGGTGAAAAAGTGTTTCAAGAACAAACTCGTGAAACGCTTCACACAAATGGCAAGGCAGCATATCAGTGTCCCTCGGGTTTTAGCATGTCTTGAGTTCTCATATAAGGAAGTCAGCTTATCCCAGAGCTGAAACACTGACTCATAATCCAGCGAACCAACATAAACGCCTCCTATAGATTCTCCTTTGGATGATTTCCGAAACATAAGAAGATTCCAATGGCAAAGAATCCTCAGAATGTAATTCTCACATCTATGGCTTTTATCCTTTCCCAAGAGCTGCAACAATGTCACCTGGAGCTCGGTTTTTGCCCAGTTCCAGATAACGCTCGTCTCAGAAGAACAATTGGATTCTTCGGATTTCAGGAACCGAAGCAGCCATTTGAGTGTTGAGAGACGAACTTCATATGATGGATCGGACAGGGAACAAATCAACCTTTCGTTAAGATCAGGAAAACCATTGATCGGTTCAAAAAATA